GGGCAAGCAGGTTAAAGGATAGAGGGTCATTTGACCTCTATCGCAGAGGAGGGTGTGGAGTTGAATTCTCCTTCCCCCTTGTGTCATCAGAGGAGGTTAGTGTGGCCTCCCTGACATACTCCCTGCCATTGGTGGATGCCAACTCACAACAAGCCTTTTGGATCCGGGTAGAACTGCCCCTGAGGGTTTCTGAGACTGTAGCTCTACAGTAGTAGAAAGCCTCATCTTTCTCCTGCAGAGCACTTGGTGGTTTCAAACTACCAATCTTTCGGATCACAGGCCAACTAGTAACCACTATGCCACCAAGCCATATTGCTCACTAAATGTGAGTTTTAGGTCAAATGTCTCTTAGAACTTACTACATGATCAATCATCAAGTACTTCTAGCTCAGATAGGGTCCCATGTCCTCATCCGTAAAGTGGCTCCGACCAAGCAGAATTGTCAAGAGGCACAGAACAACTCCAAGTTGTGCCTTAAAACTAATACCACCTGCCAACACCAACCTAGCACTATATCAGTCGCAAGATTAGAATGTCCTGAGGAGTGTGTGGATAATACAAATCTCCTCACTGCCATCCCGTCGGCTCCAACACATGGCAACCCTGTAGGACAGGGTGAACCTGTGGGTTTCTGAGACTGTAACTCTTTTGCTGCCCTTGCAGCTAGCAGGTCAACTCATAGCCCGCTTCATGCCTCACCAGGCTAGCTGTGCTAAGAGCCTCAGAAACCCTATAGAGCAGCGGTTCTCGACTCCTTTAGGGGTGAAACGACCCTTTCGCAGGAGTCGCCTGATTCATCACAGTAGCAAAACTACAGTGATGAAGTAGTAACGAAAATAATTTTATGGTGGGAGGAGGGGGGTCACCACAACATGAAGAACTGTGTTAAAGTGTCGCGGCATTAGGAAGGTTGAGAACCACTGCTTATAGAGGGTGAGCTGGCATTGACTAGACAGAAGTGGATTTGGGTTTAGTAGCATCCAGGAAGGCACCCTAGACTCTAGGGCCTAGAGGCAGTTCCCTTCCCTACATACGGAGCGGCCCTGATCTGGAATCCACTCCAAGATGAACTGTAAGACAACACTGCTGAGCACAAAGTCAGTGCTCACACCCACCAGCCACCCCATACCCACAATCCTTTCTGCCGGAGAAAAGCGAGGCTCTTGGTATCACCGTGGGGTCGGAATCACCGCGAAGTTGGTGGGTTTGTCCTGGGGGTTGGTGGTGTCGGGTGCCATGAGTATGCCGACTCACGGCCGAATCCTACACTGTGGAAGGCTGCCTAGTCGCCATTCCCATAATTCCTTGTTGGATCAGAAGGCGATGATCCATGGCGTTTTCAGGGTGGATTTTTCAGAAATTAGCAAACCTTACACCCAACTCTTCATCTGGAATTTCTGCTAAAATCTGTTCAACATCATTTTATAAATAAATAAATGAAACTTCCTCAGAGTCGATTCCAACTCATAGGACAGAGTAGAACTGCCCCCGTAGACTGGAATTTCCTGGACTGTCAAGGTTTATGGGAGCAGACTGCTTCTTCTTTCCCTCACAGGAGTGACTGGCGTGTTTGAACCACCGGCACATGGGTTAGAAGCACAGTGCCTCACCCGCTGCATCACCGGGGCTCCTTACTCGACATTGTAGTAAGAGGCAATCCCCCATTGGCTGCAAGGGTGCATGCAACAGCTGAGAATGGAGCCCAGATCTCCCCTCAGCCACTGCACCACAGCTACCTTCCTCTCCCACGGGCCCAGTGGCTGGTTAGCCTCCAGCCAGGTTTCCGGACAAACCAGGAAGGGCCCCCTAGGGCATATCAGGAGCCCCGAGGGCTTAGTGGTTACCCAATGGGCTGCTAACTGCTCGATCAGCAGTTCGAAACTACCACTTGCTCCAATGGAGAAAGACAGGATTTTCTACTCCCATAAAGAGTTACAGTCACAGGGGTGGCTCTACCCTGCCCTACAAGGTCACTGTGAGTCGGAACTGATTCGCTGGCATTGAGTTTGGGTTTTTTTGGTTACAAGGGCACGTGTAAGGGACAGGCGCTGGCATGCACGTTCCCATAATAAAAAAAGGCACAACATGCCCATGGAAGCATGGGCAGCCTTTCCTAGGGACTCTCACCTCCGTGGCACAGCCGTGCCGTTAAGAGAACATGGAATGTGGTTCCTTCGAATTTTCGCAATAGGATCTGAGAAAGGTCCTCCTCGCTATCAAAACATCCGGCCATTGTTCACCAGCCTGGATAATTTTCAGTTAAAAAATACCAACAACAAGCAAAGTCAAGTAGTCTACATCTTGCTCCACTGCGCCTCCCCCTTCCCCTCCCCCCTACGTCCCCACCCCCACCCCGGCAGCTTCTTGTTTTAAAACTAGGTGATTGGAAGGGGGTGTCGGTTGGTTACACGGTTTGTTTTGCTGGAGATTTTTTAAAACGTGCGGCCTTGTCAATGATTTCACATTTCCCATCAATACCACCGCTCCCCACCCCCGCAAGGGTGTTGTCCGTTGTCAATCAGTGGTGACGGATTCATTTTCACCCCGCTTGTGAGATTGAATGGCCGCATCCGAGCCACTTTTTCCTCCAGCCAACCATCTCTCCCCGCCCCTCGGCAGCCAGCGAGAAGTCATCCTAAAAGAAGCGGCTGGGAACTCATTCTAAGGGGCTGCCCTTCCCCCGCTGGCCTTCTCCCCCCCTCCCCCCACCCCGGCACCGCTGGAAGCCCCAGCCCCCACCCGACCCCCGCCCTCGGTGGCCGTCGGGATGCGGTGGTCTCAGCTGCCAGTAGAGGGCGCACGCGCCTTATTTTCGCCCCGCCGGGCGCGGGTGCAGCCCGGGGAGGGAGAGGGGGGCGGCGGGGGAAGTAGGCTTTGCAGCAAAACCAAGCCTGGGGATTGGTCGCTTCCCGCGTTTTCCGCGGAGGCCTGGGGGCTGGAGTAAGTAATTTGCAATCCTTAAAATTGAACCCGTGAGCCCCGGTGGCGCTGTCGGGTAAGCTTTGGACTGATCCCCTAAAGATCGAGGTTCAAGCCCACCTCTTGCTCTGGGGCAGAAAAGTGAGGCTGTCTGCTCAGAGTCAGAGGCCACTGGGTGGAAGTGGGTTTGGTTAGCATTTTAAAAGCGGAATAGAGCCAGCGCCTGATTTGGAGGAAATTCTTACTGTTTAAACAATCAAACGCTGAGCCGCCCTCTTGTCAGGAACGCAGGCTTCCTCCCTCCTGGGCTTTTTGGGGTATAATGAAAAAGTTTACTTAAAAAGGCTTTGGGTCAGGGAGCAGGGATGGAAAGATTGTCTTTGTTTTTGACGCCCTGGTAAAATGCAAAATAGCAGATCCCAAGGGAATGTGCATTCTACATGAAATAGATTCACCCAGGAAGCCAACGAATGGTGTGTCGGGCTGGGCCACAGACAAGATTGACGTGGATTAGATACAATACACTTACACCGTGATATATATTTTTTTAATTTGGGGGAGGAGGGTCAATGAAGTAGGAAATGAATACCTGCAATGCTGTCAGTTTTTAATTAGCTCAAGATCCCCTACCCCTCCTCAGACATCACCCCCACCCAAAAAAAAGGCTCATAACTAATACTGAGCTCCTGCCCTTTGATTGGAATCGATGCATTTTTTTTGTGCGTAATCACAATTCTAATAATAAAAGGGAAAAGATCCCGGAAGTGAAAGTCCGGAGGAGAAAGAGTTAACGGTTTTCTTTCTCTGTGTCTCCGCTGCCACTGCCGGCTCAGTCTGCAGCCTGGCCTCCTCATCGCTCCCCCCGACCCCGCCTTTCGGGGAGTCCAGTCCAGCGCACCCCCACCCACCCACACTCTCGCGTCTAGCTCCTTTGATTTCCCTAAGGGCGCCCCAGCCTGGTGCAAACTGGCGCCACGGGGCGCAAAGAGGATTTGTCTCTTCCTGAAACCTGGCTACGGAATTGAGAACTCCGTGTGGGAGGCGCAGGGATGAGGCTGCGGGGCGGACTGGCAGACCACGGCGGGGGACTGTCCGCCGCGGCGCGGACCCGCAAAGGCGCAGATCTCTCAGCCCGAATCGAAAACACGCAGAACGATAGGGGAGATTATTAGCGCGTCCGCCCGCCTCCCGCGTGGGTCCCGGGGCAAGTCCGCGGGCGCGGGGCGGCGGAGGGGGGTTCTGCAGCTTTAGCAGCAAATTGGAGGATTCCTTCGAGGTGGTGGGTGCCCAGTCGGGAAGGCTGGAAGCACCTAATGCCTAATGCATCACACCCCAAGACAGGCACGGGTGTGTAGTTTTAACGCGCTCTCCGCGAATACGTGGCAAGATGTTCCACGCTATTTCCATAATGCCAGGCATTTTCCTCCCTATATTATTCATACACACATACATACTCGGAGAGCGCGCGCGGAAACACCCCTTTCTCGCCTCCTTTCTTCGCTGGGCTTATTTGCAAAACGCTGCCCTTTCCCTGGCCTTAGGGAGGCGCCCTCCTGCGCACCAAGGACGTGCGTGGCGCGGCCGTGGATACGCAGTGTCTTCGCCGTGTACCGGGCTGGCGCGGCCGTCCCGCCCGTGATGATTTAAGCACATAGGACAAGCACTCGGTTGGTCAGACCCAGCGCTGCGCCAGAGGGGAAAGCACGGGCCGGGAGACGGCTGGAGGGGGAGCGGGAGAAAATGGTCGGCGCAAGCGATTAATTCATCGAGCGATCTCACTCTGCACATCAGAAAGCGCGGCGCACGGGAGGGAGCCTGCGAGTCTCCTCCCCGCGGCCCTCCCTCCTCCCCCAGAGCCCCTCCCCGGCTCGGAGAAGAGAGGACCAACCAAAGCCCACTGCCATCGAGTCGATTCCCACTCCAAGCGTGCCTCCCCCAGCGAATCCCCGCCCCCCGGCCCTTTATAAGGCGAGGGTGGGCGCAGACAAGGAGCCCCGAGCTGCGGCCGCGCCCTGGCTGGCGACTGTCTCCCTCCAGGCCCCAAGAAGGGCTGGGCTTCTCCGAGGCTTGGCGGGAAAAGAGAGCGGAGGGGAGGGTTCTTAGATCGGTATAAAAGCCGGTTTTCGGGCCTTATCTGACTGTCGCTGTAGTAATTCCAGCGAGAGGCAGAGGGAGCGAGCGGGCGCACCGCCGAGGGTGCCAGAATCTAGCTACCGGAGAGCCGAGCCGCGCTCCCGGAGCCCGGGGCTGGGAGAGCCGGAGTGAAAGGGGCTTCTCCTCCGGCCCCGCCGCCCTCCACCCGCGGGCCGCACCCGGGCAGTAGCTGCGGCGAAACTTTGCTCTTGCCGCGGACCGGCACTTTGCACTGGAACTTACAAAACCCGGGCGAAGACGCTGACTCCCGGAGCGGGGAGGCGAGTCCGTCTGACTGGGAAGCACTTTCCCCGCTGCTGCCCGCGACACCCACTGCCTCTGAAAGGCGCTCCTCGCCGCGGTTAGGCGCTGGATTTCCTCCGAAGGGTGGAAAAGCCGGTAAGCACCGGAACAGATTTGCCTTTGGATGATTTTCGCTATAGCTTTCCTGGCGCAATGAGCCTCGAATGCCCGAATCGGGGTTATCTGGTCTGCCCATCCTCGCGCTAGTGGCACTTTTCTCTGAGTAGTTGTGGTTGGTCGGGGTGGAGGGGGGGGCACATCCGAACGGAGGAGAGTGACTTGTCACGGCGGGAGGGGGACACCGGGTGCGTTACAGAAACTAGCCTTGAGAGACCTTGTTGCTTGTGTGGACGCAGAGCCGGGCAAGCATTCGTTGCTTTTTCCTTTTATTTATTTGATTGGGTTTGGCGGCGGGGTGCCTATGCTTAGTGGTGGACAGAAAGCTTTGCATCGCAAGCCCCTTAAGTCAGGGCGAGTACGCACTGCGCGTACGGGCGAGGGCACCGCAGCTGACGACTGTCGCTAGTCTCCAAGAGGGTATTTAAATTTCGGCTAGCCGCATTTCTGACAACTAGGGAGACACTGCGGCGCGTCCCGCCCGCCCGCTGGTGACCGCGGCGCTTCCAACTCGTCCCCCTGCTCTTTTTAAGAAGTTGGCATTTGGCTTTAAATATAAATATATAAATAATGATGATGAAATCTTGTTCTCGAAGAGGTGCTAGCTAGGACTTGGGCTTGGGCGCCGGGGGGAGCTGGGGGGGGGGCAAAAGGAACCGCTGGGACAGATGTGTCTGACCCTTCTGGAATCTTTGGGGGAAGCCGGGACCAATTCCCGCACCCCGCCTTAGTCCCCTGCCGCCCTCCGTGGGCGTCCCCGCGCCCCCGAGAGGCAGAGTGGCTGCGAGGAGCGGGCTCCGGGCTTTCCCCGCCAGCTGTTACCCTCGGCGGGGCGGGGATAAAGGCACCCGGCTTGGGGTGCAGAGTCGCAGCGGGGTCTCTAGCGCAGTTGTGTCGCCGAATTAGGTTGGGAAGGGAGGTGCCCGGGTTAACACCCCCACCTCCCCTTTATGGGGCGAGGTGTTAAAGCCCGCCGCTGAGCTTGCCACCCCAGCCCGGGAGAGGAAAAAACGCCGGCCGGAGAAGGAAGGGGGCGCGCGGAGGGTGGGGATGG